CAGGAAGTAAGGACAAATAATATATATACCACTGAGTATATTTCCAATAAGTAAATGGTCAACTTTGTTTCCTGATCATATTGTATATACGGTATATAAAGTTAGGAAAGCTTTCAATACAGAAATGGTTGAACTAACCATGCCAGCTAAGTGAACGTGTTATTATTTACTTGACTATTTTTTTCGAATATATTCTTTTAATTAACATTGAAATATGTTAACAAATTCCTAGTTTTCATTCAAGAGTGTGAAAATGTTGACTACCTTAATAAGGAACTGAAACATGTAGATCAGACATTCTTTTCTACAACAAATTGTTCATCATAAAACAATATATATATAAACCCACAGATAGACGGGTATCATGTGCAAGCGGGCATGACACTTGTAGTTTATTATATTATGTTAACAAATTCCTAGTTTTCATTCAAGAGTGTGAAAATGTTGACTACCTTAATAAGGTACTGAAACATGTAGATCAGACATTCTTTTCTACAACAAATTGTTCATCATAAAACAATATATATATAAACCCACAGATAGACGGGTATCATGTGCAAGCGGGCATGACACTTGTAGTTTATTATAACTTGCACATGATACCCGTCTATCTGTGGGTTTATATATATATTGTTTTATGATGAACAATTTGTTGTAGAAAAGAATGTCTGATCTACATGTTTCAGTACCTTATTAAGGTAGTCAACATTTTCACACTCTTGAATGAAAACTAGGAATTTGTTAACATAAGGGCATGACACTTGTAGTTTATTATATTAGGAGGACAATAATAATATAACTTGTTTTCTTGCTTGAATAAATATTTTCTCCAAGCTATGAATAGAACAGAAAATACAAGTATATCAAAGAAAAGTATTTCTAATGTATGACAGATTAATATAAACCCCGTTTTTTTAAAACTGCCCTAATAAAACTTTCTTAAACATAGTGACTCTAAACCTGCATTTTTAAATCATTTCCATATTTCACAGTTTTTCGTTCGATGGCCTATAAAATTAGGGAATTTATTTATTTAAATCTAGTGTAAATAAGTTAAAAACCGAGAAAAACATTTCACAAACTGTCATGATTATTCATACATATTCTTTCAAAAAAATCAATTTATCATTTTATTAATGTATTTTAATGAGTATTCTATGTTAACTTGAAAGGTTATTATTACTTACTTCTTTATTGGAGATGGACTGTCAGCGTGTGAGGGTCTCCCGTTTCTCGTGTCTGTAACAGGACAAGTTACCATCATATATGCTAAAAAAATAGAAAAATTAATAAAATGAAAAATTTATTGTGAAGAGCCAAAATTTGGAGGCCGGTTACTTTTTACAAGAAATAAATATAGGAAGGTTAATTACGTTAATTTACAATTTATCAAGTATTGAAAATGACAGTTGATAAGTTAACCTATTTATTGTAGAGAGTGGAAGTCAGATTATGAAAATTAAACTGAAAAAAGGATATTTCCAAAGCAACCAATTAACTAAACAAACTAAATGCATATTCATATGTTTAGAAACTAATATCCACAAGAGATGGCGCTACGGTAGTAAATATTTTTAGCTGCTTGTTATCAGTTTGTCATATAATAATGACAATTCTTTAAACATTACGTCTTAGAATACCTTGATAATTGAAAACAAATCATGATGGAGAAAGCTTACCTTTTTCTGCCTTTCTTCTTTTTCTCTTATTGCATATCTTGACTGCACATACCGATAAAACTATGGCTACTATGAAAAACAAAATACCTCCCACAACACCAGCTGTTATAGCACGACTTTTTGTCACTTCATAAGTTTCACCTGAAAAAAAAAACAGACACCAGAATTCACAAAAGGCACACCTATGAAATTTAGCATGTTTTTGCAAATAATTTCGAGTAGCATAAATTGTTAAGTCTTCAACAACTGGTTAAAAATCTTCATGGATTTTCCAAGTTAGTCACCAGTCAGTTTTGCTCTCTAAGAGGAGAACTATTAGTAAAAGAAGGGATACTCAGTCAACATGACATTCTATCAACAGATTTAAGCCCGAACGTTGAAAGTATATCAATATTCATATCGAATAATTAACAATATAAACGAAGGATTTTTATTTTCAGAGCTAGAGATCTTGTAAAATAGGTCTCCACTGTCTGCTGCTTAATTTAACTAATACCTTTCATGTACCCACATTCAAATTTTCCACGAGCAAAATGTCTTTGATTTATATAGATGTTGAAATATTTCCTTTACTAAAACATTTTTTCTATGTTCCTTATTCACTAATAATGTACTACAAGAACATCAATTTTCACACTTCATGGTCCTTATTATTTCGGTTGTCTCCCAAGAAATAATACAATTTTGATCATTGTTACCTCTCATTTCAAAGGTATCATTATAAATGCATACTGTTACAACTTATTTTTTCCATGCTGGACTGAGAACATAAAATTTGTAATTTGTTTTCAAAAATTTAATGAAGTATTAGAAAACGAACCTATAACTGCATATCTGGAAATCATGCTTTAACCCTAAACAAATTAAATTATTGCTTTTTTTTCTCAATTCCAAATGATACACACACAAACACCCACATTATGTATTTTCATAAACATATATATATAACACACTTTAATCAATAGTATTTAATTTGTAACACACTATCGTTAATTTCTGATTAGAGCAAGCTACTTAATAATTAATATAGCTAAAGTAATACATTGTTCTAACTAGGTACTTACAAAGCTGTAAAACAATAATTATTAAATTACATTGATTCATCAATTAGCTACTTAATAATTAATATAGCTAAAGTAATACATTGTTCTAACTAGGTGCTTACAAAGCTGTAAAACAATAATTATTAAAGTACATTGATTCATCAATTAGCTACTTAATAATTAATACAGCTAAAGTAATACATTGTTCTAACTAGGTGCTTACAAAGCTGTAAAACAATAATTATTAAAGTACATTGATTCATCAATTAGCTACTTAATAATTAATACAGCTAAAGTAATACATTGTTCTAACTAGGTGCTTACAAAGCTGTAAAACAACAATTATTAAAGTACATTGATTCATCAATTAGGTGCCCTCTCTGCTAGTGATATATTTGGCCATTATTCTAATAGCATCTAAGGAGGTTCGACCACACTCTGAACCAGAGTGAGAGTATGACATGAACGTACCTGCTATGATAAGAGATACTTCTGAGCTTGCCTGTCCTACAGACAAAATAGAGTAAGAATAGACACGAAACCTGTAGTGGCCAGGAGCCATATCTTTAGCTATCAGGCAGAAATAGAAAAGAGTAAAATTAACAATTCAACGCTTGTAAAAGAAAAAATGTTAGATCCTGTTAAGAAAACTTCCGGACACTCTACAGTGTTCTGTAAAAATAGAAAACATAACAAAAAATATCATCAGAATTTGCCATGATTTAGGATTTTATATTTCAAACATTAGTAAACTTCTTATTTCTCGTCAATCGCTTTAAAAATTATCATCCAGGAGATGCTTGTTTTGTAAGTTCATCATTAAAACTATACAGGATATATAGTATAATAGTATGCTTTTAAAACTGTAAGGATATATAGGATCCAAGTATGCCTTTAAAACTATATAAGATATATAGGATATAGTATGCCTTTAAAACTATACAGGATATAAAGTCTAATAGTATGCTATTAAAACTATACAGGATATATAGAATACTAGTATGCTATTAAAACTATACAGGATATATAGGATACTATATGCTTTTAAAATTATACAGGATATATAGTATATTACTATGCTTTTTAAACTATAAGGATATGTACGATCCAAGTATGCCATTAAAACTATATAAGATATATAGGATATAGTATGCCTTTAAAACTATACAGGATATATAGGATACTAGTGTACTATTAAAACTGTATAGGATAAATAGGATGCTAGTATGCTTTAAAACTATAAAGGATATATAGGGTACTAGTGTGCGTTTAAAACTACACACGATGTATAGGACACTAGTATTCATTTAAAACTATACACTATATATAAAATACTAGTATGTATTTAAAACTATACATGATATATAGTATACTAGTATGCATTTAAAACTATACATGATGTATGAAATACTAGTATGTATTAAAAACTATACATGATATATAGTATACTAGTATACATTTAAAACTATACACGATGTATGGAATACTAGTATGGATTTAAAACTATACACGATATATATAGGATACTAGTATGCATTTACCACTATACACCATATATGGAATGCTAGTATGCATTTAAAACTATACATGATATATAGTATACTAGTATACATTTAAAACTATACACGATATATATAGGATACTAGAGTGCATTTAAAACTATACACGATATATGGAATACTAGTATGCATTTAAAAGTATACACGATATATGGAATACTAGTATGCATTTAAAAGTATACACGATATATGGAATACTAGTATGCATTTAAAACTATACACGATATATGGGATACTAATATGTATTTAAAACTATACACGATATATGGGATACTAGTATACATTTAAAACTATACACGATGTATGGGATACTAGTATGGATTTAAAACTATACACGATATATAGGATACTAGTATGCATTTAAAACTACATACGATATATATAGGATACTAGTGTGCATTTAAAACTATACACGATATATAGGATACTAGTATACATTTAAAACTATACACGATGTATGGGATACTAGTATGGATTTAAAACTATACACGATATATAGGATACTAGTATACATTTAAAACTATACACGATGT